AGCCTCCCTCTTTTCCAAAAGAAGACACATTTAGCTGGTAGCTTTCTGTACCTCGCCAGACTTAGAATTTTAGTTTGTTGTTTTAATTCTATTTTCTGTTGGCCATCTTCTGACAGGAGAGAAGTTTTACCTCATGGTCATGTTTCATTTAGCTGTTACTGAGAATTGATGAACTGATCCATAGTGTATGTATTATATTAACCTTGTAGAGAATTTATCATTTTTCTGTCTTTGCCCTTTAATTTTGTATGCCCCTTCAAGTATCTATCCTATTTGGGGCCTTTTTTTTTTTAATTAAAAAATGTCGGTTTGCCGTTAAGGAAACAAAAGAAAAAAAAATACACATGATAGCTAAGCCTAGAAAATATCTAGTGTGTTTTCTGTCTCGGCAATAGGGGGTTGTATAAACTCATGAAAACCTTCATTACACAAATTTCTTAGAAATGCTGATAAAGAAATAAAACCTTCCGTGCAGCCACTATGGAAAACAGTGTGGCGATTCCTCAAAAGACTAGGAATAGACTTACCATATGACCCAGGAATCCCACTCCTGGGCTTGTATCCAGAAGGAAATCTACTTCAGGATGACATCTGTACTCCAATGTTCATAGCAGCACTATTTACAATAGCCAAAACATGGAAACATCCTAAATGTCCATCAACAGGTGACTGGATAAAGAAGATGTGGTATATTTATACAATGGAGTACTACGCAGCCATAAAAACCGACAACATAACGCCATTTGCAGCAACATGGATGCTCCTGGAGAATGTCATTCTAAGTGAAATAATCCAGAAAGAGAAAGAAAAATACCATATGAGATTGCTCATATGTGGAATCTAAAAAACAAACAAAAAACAAACAAACTAAAACAAAGCATAAATACAGGACAGAAATAGACTCATGGACATAGAATACAGACTTGTGAATACCAGGGGGGTAGAGGGTGGGAAGGGATAGACTGGGATTTCAAAATTGTAGAATAGATAAACAAGATTACACTGTATAGCACAGGGAAATATACACAAAATGTTATGATAAATCACAGAGATAAAAATGTGACAATGAGTGTGTATATGCCCATGAATGACTGAAAAATTGTGCTGAACACTGGAATTTGACACAACATTGTAAAATCATTATAAATCATTAAAAAATGTTAAAAAAAAAAAGAAATAAAACCTTCCATCCTCATCTTTCAAGCTGCACAGCTAATTGTCAAGAAAGTGAGGGGAAATCCTCAGAAGCCAAGACAAACCAGAAAGCAGGGATTCTGGGTGATACGTGAGCCTTAGAAGCCCTGGGGTGCCGGTTGGCTCCTGAACTGAGTTTCAGTTCCCAGGGCAGGAGGTGAGCCCGAAGCCTCTCACACTGGGAGTTGGATGGCTGATCATATGTAAGGCCAAGCCCATCCTGAGAAGCATGGTTTACTAAAGAGTGAACTAGGAAAAAAATTTCCTCAAGGCAAGACAGTAAGGAAAGTCAATTTTGTTGAAAGAGGGTAAAAATAACAAATCCAAAGTAAGGATACAGTTTAAAGCTGTTCTGGCATGAGAGTGACCACAAACTCCTGGCAGAGAAGCACAGCTATTCCTGGAATGAGAAGCTGTGGTTTGAATGAATCAGTAAGCAGCCATTCCGATAAAGGCCTCCAGAGTCTTGTGGATCAAGATACAGGACCACAAACACCTCTCTTCCAAGGTCTCATTCAAATAACCAAAAAGGTTTTAAAGGAAAGAAGCCATAATCATAGTTCTATTTATTAACATTACTTTATGCTAGAAATTCAGAGGTGACTATGGAGTTGTCTCCTCTTTTATGGACCTTACTGTCTCTTTGGGGAGACAAATTGACATAGATGGGGAGCTTGGTGGAGGGAAGTGTTAGTCTGTTGCAATTAGCCAGGAGAGGAGATTAAGAAAGCAGTGAAGGGTTGGTGAACTTTTTAGCTGAGGACAGTCTTATTCAGTTGGCTTTTAATTGTAGGCTCAGTATGTTGTCAGTAGAGGGAATAAATCTTACGGAGGATGGACTTAGCTCAGGCCTCTTTAGAATGGACAAGTGAACCTGGAGAAAGACAGTCAAATCTGTGCAGAAATTGAAGTTCACTTGAGCGTGCTCCATCCCTGAGCCAAAGATAGGACAAATATGCAGCACTTCTTGAGGACAGAGGAGTGGTTTTTAAGCTTCTTCATGAATGAATCCCAGGGAACCGAGATGGCCAGTTGTCAAACTGTGACTTTGTTCTTTGGACGGTGTACCCACCAAGGGTATTGGCCTTTTATATGTTTCCATTTCTCTTTAATAAATGTCTGTTGATGAGGACGTGGGCACAAGTGTTTGATACCTTGTCGAGGTGACTTTGGGTACCTTCCTAGAAGCACGGGCACAGTTGCGGCTGCGTCATACATCTTGCAGCCCATCCCGTTCCCCGGCTCCGTGATCAAGGCAGAGTGGTTCCTTGTTGACCTGTCCGTCTCCTCTGTGACATCATAACCCATGAAAAGACCGGAGCGTATTAACTTGGCTTTGTTAAATTCAAAGGAACAGATCAAATATGGAGTCAGATTTGTTCTTTCCTATTTCAGTAGTGCCATGGAGAAGGCAGTTTGGGCAGCTTTTTGTAGGGTCCTGGAGACTTTCTCTCTCAGCCTCTGGGCGCCTCTATTGAAAACTTTTCATAGCTGTCTGGCCTGCTGGAAAACCACTCCGCCTGTTTTGCCCTGAAACTGTGTTCAGTTTATAACTCATCTCTGTTCCTTGGAAAACAATAAAAACTCAGTTGGTTTTCCACCAGCCATGGGCATGGGTGAGGGATACCTTGTTATTATTTCATAAAATATTAATAATAATAATAGTAATAGTAGTAGTAATAATAATAATAATAAATAAAAAAAATAAAAGAAGTCTTAAAACACACTGGGCACATTGGAAAGAGTCAATAAATGCTTCCTGGCTTAAATCAAAAGTGATGACTCAGTGATTTCATGGCTGCTGTATTTGCTGAGCTAGTTACCCCTTTGCTCCATTACACATTATTTTTAACTGAAAAAGAAATACATGCAAATAGTTAAAAAAAAATTTCAAACAGAGCAGAAAAATACACAAGTGAAAGAAGTTTTCCCTCATCCTCTGTTCTTTCAGCCCTCCCTGGAAATGCCACTGTTTACTATCCATTCGCTGCTTTTCCACTTATGCTTTGCACATTCCCACCTATGTATGTAAATTCCTTTAAAGTTTTGTTATTTTTAACTTAAAGATATTTAAACCCTCAGGTGGCTTCTTCCCGGGTAATAGAACAGAACAAATCTGACTCCATATTAGATCTGTTCCTTTGACTTTAACCCTGTGCTCTGTCTCCTAGGCTTCGTCTTGCTTGTAAAACAATGTTGCTTACAGCCTGAAATATACAGGAGAGCCTATTCTGAAGGCTCTGACCCTTAAGGATATTTAACACTTTTTCATTCATAAAAAGATAACAAATTGCAGAATAGAAAATAACGTTTGTTTTGATGGAGATTTACAAGGATCTGACCCAGGCAGATAGCTTCAAGAACAAAGGACTCTAACAAGAAGGAATTCCTACACCAAGAAGATTGCAACAACCAAGCACGTAGGAAAGAAGCCTGAATTTTGACTTGGGGAGATGGTTTTCCAGGACATTAGTTTGCCATCTAGGTCTACAGAAACTGGCTATTCCATGTCCCAACACCTGGTCTCCCAAATTATCGACATATCCTGCACTGAGGAGAATGAATTTGGACTCGGTAACACTCCTATCTACCGAGCAAGCTGGGCACTGGAATTGAGTGTTACGGAAACAACAGGCCAGCCGAGGAACAAGCACCACTCGGAGTGTTGTAGTACTCAGATTTATTATGCCGGCGGGCTCAGAGGGGCTTCTGCTCCGAAGTTCTGAGCACCTCCAAGACATGCACATGAGGTTTTAAAGGGTTAATTACAAGTATGGGGCTATTAGCCAATAAGGCTTAAAGAACAAAAAGCAAGGAATCAGTACACTGGAGCTTATCAACTTGTAATAGATCACGTTACTGACACTTGTTGGGCTTGGATTTACGAGTTAGCTTGTTAGCCCAGTAAACTGACACTAAACTTCAGATTTACAAGTTAGCCCAGTAGAATTTAGATCAGTAACCCGACACTTATCACACTTAGATTTGTGACTAAGCTTATTAGCCCAGCTAAGCTTTCCCTTCACATGAGGACAGCTCTCCCACACCCAGGGAACTACTGTGAGCCCTTGATGGTTCCACTAGGGTGGGGTGTGGTTTACCCAGGAGGGATGGGGACTATGCACCAACACTCAGGCAGTCCTCCGTCTGGGGCTCTGATCTTGTACCACCCCTCTCCCCGCCAGCCCAACACCTGGGAGAGTGGAGCTAAGGCAGAGATCGTGCCTGCCTGTTTCCCAGCATGTAAAAGGGGAATATGTACTCTTCCCAAGGTAGTTCTGAGCGATAACACCTGCGGGTGCTTGGTTCCGAGAGCAACAGAAAACCCAGATCCTCGTGGAGGCAACGGGTGTGATTCCCGTAGGGGTTCTGCAGAAGCATCGGATGGAGGGCTGGACCAGGGAGGTAAAACTTGAGCTGCGGTCCTTGAAGGGTTACAGAAGGGTACAGAGGCAGGACTGCCGCCTCCTTTGGGGTGCCCCCAGAGGTAAAGCTTTTTCTCTCCATCTCCGCTAAGACCCTCCCCTCTCTAGATCCCTCCCTTCTCTCTGCTCTTCCTGTCCATCTGTCTCATGCCACTTTTCCCCTCCTCTCATCCCCCTCCCATCTTCTGCGTCACTCACTGCCCCACCTTCCCTCACAGAACCCAGAGAGGATCGCTGGCCCTCCAGCGCATGCGCAGTCGCTGCCAGCTGGACCGCGGGTTGGAAGCTCCAGCTCCGAGCCGGGGATCGGCTCCTAAGGCTTCTCAGCTCTGTCGCCCTGTAGGCCTTTGGCTCCTGCCTGGGCCGGGGCCTCTGGCTGTGGAAGTGCAAGGTGGGGGGTTCCTGGGAAAGGGGTCAGGTGGCTGCGGGAGGGCGGTCCGCGTGTCACAGCCCCTCAGGGCGCCGGTCAGCGTGTGTTCAGCTGAATTCCTCGGGCCACACCCCTCTGCCCGCGCCACCTGCCCCGGCGCCCCAGCCACAGCTGTCCAGGGCCAGGTGTGCCCCTGTCGCCTCTCGCCCCAGCCGGGCTCCCCTCAGTCCGCGGCTGGCGTCCCCTTCTCCTCTCCCGCCCGCGAGTCCTCTCCTCCCGGGCTTCCTGTCCTTGGCTGCCTACCCGTCCCCACACCTCAGCGGGCTGTGTCGCGGGTGGGCGGGGTCTGGGGACCCGGACGGGGCGGCTGGGGCTGGGGCTGGCCTCCGAGCTGGGCTGCAGCCCGCGTTTCCACACCCCCCCCGCTTTCCCTGCCCCGCGAACCTGGGGCTGCCTTCCTCTCCCTTTCCCGCTCCCTGAGGACCAGCTCAGCGGCGTGGGCACTGCTCCCTGGGCTGAGAGCCACCGGCTGTGACGCCCAGCTTCTCCTGGTGGAGTCAGGAAAAGGGAGCGTCAGTTCTGAGCGAGCTTCTGTCTCCTCCCTCAGTGTTTCTGCCGCAGGTAAGTACCTTGAACACTTTCAGGTGTTATGATGGCAGTGCTTGCTGATGTCACGTGTTTTTATAGTGAGAGGGATTACAGTGGTGAAAGCAGGGCTTGCTTCAGTTAAAAATGAGCTGAAGGCATGAGGCTGCGACATCCTCATTCCTTCCCTCTCCCAGGGTGAAACGTGTGACCGTCGATTTTAAAAAGATAGTTACAGTCCCTAACTAGCCCAGCCCAGCTAGTGTATGTTAACAGGAACAGAACCACCAGAGGCGTTGGAGATCCAGGGACATTGCAGTCCTAAAGAACTCCTGGCAGTTTGGTTTGTTTTGGTTTTTTGTTTTTCTTAAATTATGGGGCAGACAAGTGGTATAAAGGGAAAAATAACTGTCAAGAAAAATTTTTTTCATATAACAGCTTTATTGAGATGTTGTTCACACACCATGAAGTCCATCCATTTAAATGGTACAATTCAGAAGCTTTTAGCATATTCACAGTTGTGCAACCATTATTATTCCAGAACGTTTTCATCACTTCAGAAAGACCAGTGGAAATGAATGACCTATCCACCCCTCCCAGTGGTGGTTCTAAAGAAGTTTCTTGGCTATTCCTGACCATAAATTAACTTGTTACATTCCATGAAAAATCTGGTAGGGATTCTAAACAGAATTTCAATGAATCTCTATCAAAACAGGAAGAATTAATGTCTTTATGGCATAAACTTCTTCTACCCATGAATATATCTGGGACCCTATCTTTTCATCTGTCCAGAGCCTGGCCTATGGGAAGTCCTCACTACTTGTTGGGCTTGAGAATGATGAGATTCTATACATCGTTAGTTGCAACTGTAGCCTTTCACAGAAAATAAAAGTAACCTCAGTGAAGCCAAGTGACTCTCTGAGGGTCAGAAAGAGTGACAGCCAGTGCTGGAGTGATCCAGCGGACTTGGTGCTTGCAACCAGAATTCTCCACCACCTACAGCTAAGGGGATTAGAGTGTTCTTTTATTTTTTCTTAATGGCGTTGCTTTTATTTTTACTTATTTTTTTAAGTATTTTTTATTGAAGTGTATTCAATTTACAATGTTAGTTTCAGGTGTACAGCAGAGATTCAGTTATAAACATATGCATATGTATATACATATGTTTTAGATTGTTTTTAGTAGAACTCATTACAAAAAATTGAATACAGTTCCCTGTGCTATATAGTAGGTCCTTGTCATTTATTTTATATTTATTAATGTGTATCTGTTAATCCTCCCTTTCCTGCCTGCTAACCACAGTTTGCTTTCTATGTCCATGAGTCTATTTCTAGCAGCACCGCTTTTGCTAGTAATATATGCTGGTTGGCTGCTTTCAGTTTCAGTAATTCCATCTTATCTGTGGGCACTTTTCTTCTGGTGGCCTTTATGTGGTTTGCACACGTGGTAATAGAGATCTGTATTTGGGACAAATTCAGGCCTCTGTAGTCCCTGGTACAGAGTGCCCACTGAGTTGATGCTTCAATTGGGAAAAAAGCACATTAAATATTGGAATTTCCACTATGGTTGAGAATTCCAGGTTTCTATAACCTGTTTAGCCCACCTTAATTTTGGGTGCACCCATACAAGGTAATTTGGTGGAATTTCATGTTGTGGTGGTGTAGAGACAGGATCTTGTATGCTTCTTCTCTTTCCTTTTTCTAACACTCATTCTCCTGGGCCTCCAAGATCCTCCTCCAGAAGTGCCCAGGGCTGGCTTGGTGCTGCGCTGAGGCAATATTTGTTAATAAGGCCCTTTCCTCATCTCTTCTGAGCCTCCGTTTCTTTCTCTGCACAATGAGGGTTTAGACTAGATAAGTGCTTTTCAGTTTCTTTTAAAGCCATGTTTCCTTTGAGAAAAAGAAAATGCAAATCTCTCCTCTCAAACCAACCCTTTAGATTTTGATAATTCCTCCAAGGAGTGACATAGCTCTTTGTGAAAAATTGATGTGATTGTGATTCCAGGTGGCACAGAAAAGACTCTTCAGAGATTTATTGCAGGGAGAGGGCAGGAAAGGGGCAGTATGTCACATTTTCTAATGTGAGCACTGGAGCAGGGGCTTGGATTTAAATACGGTGTCTGACGTGGCCTCTTTCTAATCTTGTACAATGAGATAAACTTCTCTACCTCAGTTTCTTGATGTGTCAAGTTGGGGTGATAATATTTTAGGGCTTTTGTGAAACATTCTACACATAATCCATTTGTGTCTCGGTAGAAACAAGACCTGCTAGGGATTCAGGGATTTGTTTTAAAAAAAAAAAAATCTTGTCCATAGCACTCTGTTGGTGTGTATTTTGAAGTTCCTGGAGGGTGAGGGTTGAGTCTAAAGTCCATTGTGGGACAGGTGGCCCATAGTTCTCCGTGCCTGAGATTGCCCCCTCCTCCCCAGTCCTCTTCCTTTGTCCAGGATGAAATTCCCTAGTAGATTTACACAGAGGTCTTGTGGAAATGGCTTTTCATTTTATTGTTTCACCAAGAAGGGCTGCCATCATGATCTCTGTGGTCAGGTTTTGAAGGGCTGCCATCATGATGTCTGGTCAGGTGAAGGCTATGCAATTGGGAGTTTCTACTTAATAAAAAGAAAAAATTACAAATAGAAAATTAGAAAAAGTGTGGTGACAGGGGCTCTTGGAAGTGGGCACCTTTAGCTTTCTTAGCTTCAAGTACAGTGGCCTATTGCCACGAGGACCCATCCTCGTGCTTTGAAGTTGGAGGGACCAGTGGGTTCAGTGGGAATGTTAGTTGAGTGCATCTCATGGGCTGGGTATTGTCCTATTTATACTGTGTTCATTATTTGAGACAGTGAGCTCATTTAACCTAAATAACCTCTTTAAAAAAATTATACTTTTTACTTTGAGATGTAATGTAGATTCCCATGTGATTCTAAGAGATTATATGGAGAGGGCCTATGGACACTTTGCCCAGTTTTCCTTAATGGTTCCATCTTGCAATGTTGGGGTACAATTCATTACTGACTCACTAACAGTTTGATGTTTGTGTTATTGCCCTCATTTCTATTCACGATTAAACTGGGGCTTAGGGAATCACACAGGGTTAGTGTAGAGTCGGGTGGAAATTGGGCCTGGGATTTCCAGGCAGTACCATTATGATGGTCTGTGGCAGGGAGCAGCATTCACTTTGTTTGTTTATTCATTCATTCAACAAACATTTATTGAGTAACCTCTGTGGATCAGATGCTTTCTTAGGGTTATCTGATTCTTCAGCAGTACTGAGAATCAGGTAATGTTTGTTTATTTTTTTTTAATCTGAGAAAATTAGCTCTGAGAGGTTATAACACCCCCAAAGGAAATATAGCTCGTAAAGGAGCGATAGTAAATTTGTACAGTCCCCCCTATTTATGCAGGTGGTACCCTAGGCATTTTACATTTGCAAACTTGCATAATCCAGATATATTCTTGTAAGGCAAGGAGTTTTTTTTTTTTAATTGAAGTATATTCAAGTTTACAATGTTGTGTCAATTGCAAGGTGTTTTTTGAAATTTGAATTAAAAACTATTTTTTGAGGAGGGTAATTTGGTTTATTTATTTGTTTCATTTTTTAAAATGAGGTACTGGGGTTTGAACCCAGGACCTTGTACATGCTAAGCACGTGCTGTACTACTGAACTGTACCCTCCTCCCCAAGGCAAGTTTTCTTATCCATTATTCTGAAATATTCTGAAGCTTAGGAGTTCATATAAATTAGATAGAAATCCAGATCTTTTGATCCTACTGTGGTCCTTTTCTTTATATTCTGCTGAAGAAGGTTGGGGAAATCAGTTCCTTTATTCATTTCTTTATTCAGCAGTTTTGAGCACTGACTTTGCATCAGGGCCTGGCTAGGTGCTTGGAAACAGAAAACAAGAAATGACTCTTCTCTGCAGGGGCAGGAAGCCTAGACCAAAAGCTGGGTAATGTGATCCGAGCTACGGTAGCCATGTGCAGACTCTGAGGACAAACTGTACCCCCGGATTTGCTTTGACTTCCCTTGCCTTCTGGCTGGTACACACCAGATCACCGCAACCCAGATGGGCCTGCAGCCCACAGCACAGTATGTACCTCGATCTCCTCTCCCCTCTCGGTAGGGCTTGCAACATGAGCATCCCTGAGTACGTGCAGTGTGCTGAGGACTATGAGAATCTTCCCGTGGTGGTCCAACCCGTGGGGATCATCTCAGAGGAGAATATCTTTTGCATCTATAAGCGAATCTCCTTGGTGAGCCAGATCAGCCCGTGTGGCTCCCAGTGGGCAATCTGTATCCACTACAGGCACCACTATGCACCTGAGAATGGGTGGAGCGACTTTCAGACCTACCGCAAGGTCGTGGGCCCTGTCACCATTACCTACTGCCTCTCGGCCAAGGCCTTCGAGAAGCTCCACGTGCAGAGGAGCTGTATGGCGCCACGCTTAATGACTCTCAGCTATTTGTCTTTGTGCTGTATGGGGAGGTAGACGAGCAGTCGCTCACCAACGTGGCCTTCAATCTATGAGGACTGCAGGGTGGTGGAGAAGAGGATCGAGGACTTCACTGAATCACTCTTCATCTTGCCCAAGTCCAAGTAGCTGGATGGGGCCCTCGACAATTCTGGGGACAAGATCACCCTCCTCTGCATCCCGCTTGAGAAGGAGGACGTCATGGGACTGGACACAGACAGCAGGTAAGTTTACCTGGAGGCCAGTCCACCCTGGCTGTGTGCCGGGTTTCTTCCCTACATCCAGAAAGGGATCAGCAAGGAAGAGGATTGTCTTGTAGTCAAGGGGGGAGGGAGGTGCAGCCCGCCGGTTTACAGACATTTAAAAGTGAATCTGCCTTTGTTTCAGAGAGACCCTTTTAGGG